ATATATATATATATAATCACTGATCTAGATTATAACGAGACTAACATCCCTTGAAAAAACACTTCTCACTCGTCACATTACACGTCACAGTTTCTCATCCGATCAGCGCTCAGAGGATGACTCTCAGCTACTACCACACCAAAGTTTAGCTCAACATCTGTAAAACAGACCGGGCTGAAGCTGTTTGTTGTTTTACTCTTTGCGCTAATAACTAATGAATCCTGTAAATAAAATAGACTTTAAGTTTAGTCTTTTCATTTTTTTTCTTTTATCTTATGATACGTGTAGAAATTTCAAATTAAAATGTTTCTTTGTCACAAATCTGATTATTTTTACTTCTAATTTTGTTACAGATAACATTTATTGCGTTTTTGGGTGGCATGTTTTTATTTTTCTACCCTGTGAAGCATTTTGTTTAACAGTTTGAATAAAAAGTGGGGCCACGGTGGCTCGGTGGTCTTGTGATCCTGAGGCTGTGGGTTCAAGCCCAGGACACACATCTGGCTTAAAACTATTATTAAATCTTTCAGGTGAGTTTCTGTGACCCCAGACAGGAGCAGCAAGTCCACGGTTTCAGCTGCTTGAACTCTGAAACTTGAAGCAGAATTTATTTTCTTCACGACGCTGAAACGAGTTTTTAATGTTGAAAAACTGAACTGAACAGACTTTTAGCTGAACAAACAAAGGCAGCAACGTGGGTGAAACCATATTTGATGTGTTTTGTTTTCCAGCAGCAGCACGAGACGCTCCAGCAGAAATGAAACCCATAATTTAGCTGCTTTCTGTTCCACTCTGCCGAGATTTATTCTGACAAAACAAAGAGGAGCTGAGGAGGAAGAAATATGAGCTGAATATTTTAGTGTTTTTATTTTATTATTGCTGATTAATGCTGAGCAGGTTTCATCGTCGTCCGGGTCAGGTCCGTTTGTTTACAGAAACGTTCTGAAAGTTTTGATTTGTCTTCTTCAGCTGCTCTTTTCCAACAGCTTAATGTGAATTAAAGGGTTAAAAACCAGCTTCAGCCATGTTTCCGTGCACAGCTGGGTTTACACACTGATCTTCACATCTGGACAAAAGTCACTTGGGTAATTTTTCTTTCTCAGCAGCCAGACTTTATTTAAATGTTTTAAAAAGTTCTGATCGACAGATTTTCTGAAAAGTTTTCAGAGTTTTTCCTTAAACTTTGGCTGCTTTTAATTTTCACCCAGTTTCAGTTTTTATACCTGAACACTTTCAGAGGAAGGTTTTAAATCTGAACTCTGACGTCACTCAACTGAGTGACACTGAAACACATGGATGGATGGATGGATGGATGGATGGATGGATGGATGGATGGATGGAGGGATGGAGGGATGGAGGGATGGTGGAAGGATGATGATGGAAGTATGGATGAATGAATGGATGGAAATATGGATGATGGATGATGAAGGGATTGATGGAGGGATGGATGGTGGAGGGATGATGAATGGATGGATGGAAGATGGATGGATGGAAAATGGGTGGATGGATGGATGCATGGATGGATGCATGGATGGATGGATGCATGGATGCATGGGTGGATAGTCAAGGGATGGATGGAAGTATGAATGGATGGGTGGATGATGCGAGGGATGGATGATGAATGGATGGATGGATGGTGGAGGGATGGATGGAAGTATGGATGGATGAATGGATGTATGGATGATTGATGGTGGAAAGAGGGAGAGATGGATGGATGGATGA